CCTTCCCCCACAAACACCCCCTCTCGCACAGGGACTGCTGGAGACGGAAACCAACTCTAGCCATGACGCAGAAAAGAGAAGCAGGTAAAGGAGAATGTATGAATGGATCTGTTAGCACTCTGTATTGGGGATGAATATTTGCTTGAAACTAACCAAAATTTAGCTCATTGTCTGTAAAATGGCAGAGGCCTTTTAAGCCATCTTCTTGAGCAGCAAGTAGAAATGGACAGCTTAACTCTTGAAGAAAAAGATTAAATGATTTATGAAATATCAATCACTGACTTCTCTTTCCACAACAAACAGTAATGGAAATACCAAAGTTAATGCTCAATAATCCAGGTATAAAATCCAACAATGTTCAGTCAGTGATGGAAATAAATTTTCACCTGAGGCGACTGACCTGTAAAAACAAGTGCTCAGACAGCCAAACCTCCTCTTTGGGTGTAGTAAAATTACCATCTAATATTAGAAATAAGTTGTCTTATTTTCAAACCCTAGACTATTTTGTTGCTGATTAATCAAGTACCTGTTTGGGGCTCTTGAAAAAGCTGTGTTGGATTTCATTCTGCCTCCCCTGAGAGCAACCAAGTGTAAAATGCTGCTGCTGGAAAAAGCACTCACATCCAACCTTTGACCTCCCATTACACCATCTTAAAAGGGAAGCTTCATCTGTCAAAATGATGAGAGGCAGCACTGCACTAAGCAAGCAACCAGTGCAACAAACAGAGCAAATAACACAATCATTCAATCCACTTGTGCCATTTGTGTCTCCCCCTCACACACTAGAGGAATGTGTTCATGAGGAACCAGCTTCAGCTCCCATTTCCACCTGATAACTTCCTGATCTACTCTTACGCTGCAAAAACACAACATGTGGGGAGAAAATCAAGCACAAAGGATAAATTGTGATTCCCTCGTGAGGATTTGCTTTGCTTCATTAAAGGGGGTGGATAAAATGTGATATAGAATAATGTGTGCAGTAGTCCCTCGCTGCTTCACGTTTCATTTATCACGGTCTCGCTCTATTGTGGTTTTTCAAAATAAGATTGGACGTGACACGCAACTGGCTAATTGATGGATGAGCTGCACTATTGGCATGTAATTTATATTTAAAATAAATTATTTAAAACAATTCAGCACCTGCTGCACCTGTGTGCAGCCCACAGCTGCAGATAGCAAAGTGCAGCAGGAGACAGAGCTGAAATCATGACATGCTGTGCTCTTTTAAAGCATTTAGAATACTGCAAGAGTGCGGGAAGGGATTATAATGCCTTTGTGTTCATTCAACCTTTACACAAACACAACAACAAGAGCAGCAGCAACAAAACTGCTGCTGCTGCTACAAGTACAAGTACAACTACTACTACAACTACTACTACCACCACCACCACTACTACTATTACTAACACACTGCAGCTGAATGCAAGTGTGAACAAATATTGCTTGACATCATGAAATTAGAACAAGTATACTAAAGCTTTGCCACGGTACTTTTCATTGTACCTTTTAAATAATAGAACTACTTGCCATACATACATCTCTGGTCTTCTCCCCCACCCTGCATCTGTTCCTGATCAGTGGTACTGTGATGCTTTTATTTCCTCACAGCCAATGTGAATTAGTCAGTCAGGTCTTTAACTTTCTGCATGTTTTCTGAGCCAGACATGCTTTGTTTGATTTGCAACTTTTAGATTTCGTAGTATTAGTAGTAGTATTAGTAGTATTAGTAGTAGTAGTAGTATTAGTATTAGTAGAAGTAGTAGTAGTAGTAGTAGTAGTAGTAAGAGTAGTAGTAGTAGTAGTAGTAAGAGTAGTAGTAGTAGTAGAAGTAGTAGAAGTAGTAATAATAGTAGTATTTTTTCATTCATTCTTTTATTCATTCATTCATTCATTCATTCATTCATTCATTCATTATGTCCATGTAAACATACCTCTAGAGACTATTGACATATCTTTCCAGCTGTGTTTCTGAACTAAACACATTTTCCAGTGCTAAGTATTTGTGTAAAACTTTGATTCATAGAAGAAATATCACTGTACTAAACTCTGCTCAGATAAAGAGGAGCTATCCGTCGCTTCAATGCAACAAGCAGAAATAAACAACAGTGATCTTTCTTTAAAAAGCAACCCACAGACATTTTCCATCAAATGATGTCTGATGTGTTTTTTGTTTTCCTTTATCCAGCTGACACACGCAAACGAGGAGCTTTCACTGTAGCTACAAAGGGGATGACGTGAGCATTTAAAACTAGACACCTTGCCTTGTGCCGCTCTGCTTCACGCTGCATGTCAGTCACGGTCGGAGCGAGTTAAAAAGCTCATCTGTTGGCTGGTGCAGAAACTAAATCAATGGCCTGTCAGGTAGGCAGGAGGTGGAGGATCAGTGAGAGAAAGTGGGGCCGGTGGTGTTACTACTGTGAGTAAGAATCACTTTGTGAGCGCAGGGGTCCAGATCAATGTCCTGACATAAACGAGAGAGGAAGAGGTGACGAGGAGCACAAACAGTTGGGAGGGAAGATGGGTTGAAGTGTCTGGCAACGGTCGAACAAAAACCAAGTGGTAAACAGCTGAAAATTAGCAAAGTAGAGACAGAAAATGAGAAATATGGCAGAAAGAAGAAAAATGTAGAAATGAACAAAAATAAGCGCAAATATTTAAATTTCCTGAAAAGTACGGAGATGACTTGACGGGTAGACAGGATGGCTCAAAGTTTTCAAGGATTCTCTGACATTTTTCATTTGGCAGGGTTTCTGCTTCACAGACAAACTCTTTATTTCTTCAGTTTACATTAAACAACTGAGTCCTTTTGTTTTATTTGCCAGATTCTTTCATGAGGCTTTTTGTTCACCTTAAGACAACAACTACTGGCTTTAAAACATTTAACCCTTTCACGAAAAAGTTCATGTTCTTCTTGAAACACCATTTATCTACCGGTACATCAGGGTGATTTATAAAAGGACTGGGGCAGCATGGGGGTCAACCTGTTGCTGTTATGCTTCTGAGCCACCAAGGGAGGTGGTAAAAGAGCCGTAAATGTTGTTGCATTACAGGGTAAGTCAGCATCTGGTCTTAAGGGGTGTGATGTACAGATGGTCTTTGAGACCAGCCAGCTGTGGGGTTTAGAACAGATGTTGGACACATTTTATGCGTAGCGCTCCTGGTCTCCTAAGGTCCCACAACACTGTATCAAGTAATAATTTAAAAATCAACAGTGGCAGCTAAAAGAAGTACTTGTCTTTGCGACCGTATTGCAAAATGATTCTGTGAAATGAGCTATTGATGACCACCCAAAATCACAACATGTTCTTTAATAGTTAGGTTCATAGATCAACACAGTGCAGCTTAATAATCAATGTTCAACAACCTAACAATTACCATTTCTTATATTTCTTTTTCAACAAAGGTACAAACTAAAAACTTTAACAATAAAATACAAGGCTGAAAAGACTGCAAAACATAAACTGAGCAAAAACCTAAACGGGATTTAAAGAACCAAAAGGTGGATCTGACAATGAACTAAAGAGACCAAAGGGTATCCATACTGGAAGGAGTGATTACTGAGTGAGAACAGCTGGGATGACAACAACAGAGCAGGTGTAAGTGAAGAGCTGAAAAGAAGAATGAACGAGGAAAACAATGGCAAATGACAAAGGGATAAAACTAAATAAAAAAGAAATGAAAAAAAAAAGATGCAACAAGAAAGGCAAGACTATAACTATACACACAAAAACAAATAACAAAACTTCCAAAAACAAACACAAAACAGACCAAAATCATGACGGGAAATGATTGATGGATGGAATGCAACCGAAAGAAAATTCTTTGGGCTCTCTCCACACGGGAACAGAGTTCTGTAAATAAGCAAAAGCTATATAGCTTCAGTCTTGTGTCCACATGAAAATGACATTTTAGTTGCTCCAAACTGTATTTTTTTTTTATTCAACCTTTGTTATTGCATAAATGACCAAAACGCAACTTTCTGAAAACTTTCATGCCATAACCCAACTCTAATCTAACCTGTGGCCTGAGGGCTTACTCGTCTTCTCCTTGTATTCACACCCAGCATGAAAGCTTTATGCCCACGCTCCACAACTTGTTTCCTGTTTTTGGTGTACTTTTGTGGCCGAATTACAGCAACACCTGGTATAGTTACTAGAAAAAGTTTTGGGTCAGTTTTTTGTTTGTTTCTGTGAGGATGAAGACACGTCTAGAAACAATGCAGTGTTTGAGAATATTGTTAGAAACAGCAAATAAAAAGATCACCTTTAGATAAACAACAATTTTGTGTGGACAATGCATTAATTGATGTGTCGCGGTGCGCAGAAATGAACGCCTGTCAAAGTATAGAAGGTTTTGATGCCTGAAAGGTGTTACAACTTTCATTTGTCGGTCCAATTTGGGGGGATTCCAGAAAGAACAAGTTGAGAACCACCAGCTTGGCACATGTACATTTGATTATTCTATTAACTAGACAGATAAATACATTATGATTTAATTGCTAAAGTCTTAAGTAGCTACAGCCAGCTAAAACTGAATTCCCAGTTCAGATGCAAACCAATACTTAAAGGGGAACGGTCTCTACTTTCCATACTAATGGCTAAAATGGTCAGGGTTTCACACAAGATCCACAACAGCCTAAAAAGACTGGAGTCCATGTTTAGTGACTTCGATAAGTAAGAATAAAAGATGATAAATGTTAGCTTGGATTGACAGCAGCTCAAGCTGCAGAGTAGCAGTCAATAAACGTAAAAAACAACAACTTAGAAGTACATAAAAAGCTTTCACCGCTACCATTCAGTGAGAAATCTTTATATCGGGTATCATTAATGACACGTCTTACTAAATGACGGCGCTTCACCTGGAACCTCTGAGGCACTCGAGTCTCATCGGAGTGAAAGCACATTATTTATTAGAGCCACGAGGGTCTCACCATCTTGACCCTTTCACCCTGAAAGAGAATGAATTAAAGACGAGAAAAGACACCAGACAAACGGCCTTACTCTCATCTGGGTTCGGCGAGGCGAGGATGGCGCTGTGCTTCCTCTTCACCTCTTCAACTTTCTCTGCCAGAGACTCGATAAAACCTCGGATCTCTTCTACCTGTCGGCAGAGAGAGAGAGCAAGAAATGCTTTAGATGTGCTTAGCGGCGAGGCAGGAAGCAGCAGAGATTACTTTGACAGATGTTGACAGAGACTGAGCCGAGGAGGTAATTATCACATTAGAGCAAATCGCAGAAAGAAGCTGGTTTATGTGAACATGCAGACCGAAGAATGGGTTTTGGGTTTTATGAAACTTCAAACAATATTCCTCTACGACGTCGCGAAACTGGCGCAATCTCGTGTATTTATGCAAGCGTGTGATGTCTGGACTCAATTTGAACACAATCTAGTTAACCAACCAAATCCTGCCAATATTCATATCACCTACTTCACCGACAGTAAAAAGTAAATAAATACTTGAAGATTTATTTTCATTCCCAAGAAAACCTAGTCATTTTTTTCACATCTTTTTCAAACTGTCAGTGTAGGTAAAATATTCAGAGAAGGTCCTGAGAGGACCCAGGAACTATAAAGAAGGTGATATTATTCATTACTGCCTGCTGTTTTGAAAGACAGGTGATCATGCACTTGCTTGTGTGTGTGTCTATGTTGGATACATAATTATCCTGTTATAATCTACTAATCTACTAATCGATATATCGATTTAAATTGATGTATTGTTACACCCCTAATTGCAAGATTGTGGTAAGGGTTTAAAACGCATTAATATATATCTATATAATAAAATAAACTACTACTTACTACTTGTACTACTATTCCTACTTCACGGTTTTTCACTTATTGCAGGTCTTCAGGGTATGGATCCCCGGCGATAAACGAGAGACTACTGCAATCTTGTTGCGAGCGATCATTGTTGCAACTTTGACTTGTATTTGTCAGTTTGTGTGTATTATTTGCTGTGCGTAAGAGGAGAAGGCCCAGTTCTGACGGGCGCACTTCACCTCCATCAGAGAGCACCAACAGAAGTGATTATTTCCTGAATCCTCGCATGCTGGCAGTGCGTCCCACTTGGGTTTTTGATCCTGACCTCTGCATAATCTGCCATAAAGAAGCAGGTCTGACATTCTAACCAATCACTTCCCTCCCCGCTGCCTCGTCCTCCAGCTGTGCTACTCCTGCTTACAGCTGGAGGAGCAGCAGTTCACATCTGTCGACGGCTTCATAAATCTGAACTTTCATCTTGGGCTGTCATCCTTTTTATCACGTTCTCCTCCTTCACACCTGCTCTGCCCCACAACCCATGTGAATTTCATTTCCACACGTATACATCAGGTGTTCTGTTAGACCTCCACCTCCCTCTGCATTTGTTACAGCTCTGCTCTTTGAAGTTCCGTCATTGGGCTCAGGTCATTACTCTTGAATTATTTCCATAATTAGCTGCTCATTTAATCAGTTTTTCTTTTAATAACAGCCTAACTGGCGTTGAAATACCACATGAGAGAGACCACAAACCAGAGGAATCAAGTGTGCAGATTGTAAGAGTTAGGGAGTTAGGGGGAACTCAAAACGTTAGAAAAATAATAAATCAGGGAACAAATAATGGTAGAAAGAAATCAGAGGTTGAAACCACTTGAAGCTGTTTAGAAGCCATGAGTTAGTGAGTCACGGCACGCCTCCGAGCTCTCATAAGACATCAGACAAATTTTATTTACGGAGGAGAAAAACAATTTCAGAGGCTCCTGAGAAGCTCATTATCATGCAAAGGCAAACAATCTCACACACAGACAGGGCAACAGACAGCAAGCATCAGCACACTTTTTGTTGTCCCTCGTCGTAGAGCAAAGAGGGGGAATTGGAAATATCCTCCGTTCGTCCAACCGTCCGTCCGTGTGTGCATGTTGTGAGCTGGATAACTTGAAAAATGAGAAACAAAATTCCATTTTGGTGTGCGGCTACTTTGCCATAAGGCGTAAGAAAGGTTCCTTTGGTTTGCCACATCAGGATGTCTTGTAGGATAATCTTCCATCCATCCATTATCTTTACCCGTTTCTTCCTTTCCTGGTCGTGGGGTTCACTGGTGCCCATATCCAGCAGACACTGTGCGAGAGGCGGGTACACCCTGGACAGGTCTCCAGTCCATCACAGGGCCACATAGAGACAAACGAGACAAACAACCATTCACTGTCACCTAGGGACAATTTAGAGTTACCATTCAGCCTAACATGCATGTTTTTGGTCTGTGGGAGGAAACTGGAGATAACCCACACATGCATGGAGAGAACATGCTAACGCCACAGAAAGGTCCCCGGCCAGGATTTGATACAGCAACTTTCTCGCTGAGAGGCAGCAGCTCTACCAACTGTTCCACCGTGTTGCCTACGATAATCTTTAATTTATTAAATTTGTATAAAATAAATAAATCACAAGACTAGAATTTTTCTAAATTCTCACCCTTCTGGGATTATAAACAATAAGAAGCAACCCATAAGTAAGATATTTAAATGTCGTAGTCAGTCAAAAGTCAAAATCTGGCTCTCTTTTGTGATCCCATTTTAATTTTAGAGTTTTAATGGCCAAACGTTTGTTATTTACTTTGTCTTTGTCAATGAGCAGGATCTTACGACTTGGACTTCAGACCAAAGTGAGATTTTAAAAGACGATTTAAGCTACTCTGTAGTAAAAGTCTGATTTTCATCTGTTAAAATGTAAGAAAATATTTTTAAAAAAGAAAGCTCGAGGCAACAGATCCACTTTCTTGCTTCTGCTCATTTCATTCTTGCATCAGGTGAAAGGAGCCTGACATGACAGAATTTTTTTTTTTCATTTAGCCTTTATTTATCCAGGTTAGAATCGCTGACAGATGAAATGATGCCTACATCCTTTTTAGGATAGAAACAAAAACTGAAAATAAGCACTTTCTAACTCTTTATTAAACTTGTTTTAGCACTTGACACATTCATTCAACCTTTATTTCTACAGGTTAGTCTCACTGAGTCACGAGGACTCATTTTCAAGAAGGACCTGTTTTAAACAAAACCACAGATAAGGTACACACGACAATAAACAGCTGTAAAATGCATATAATATGAAAAATTAATTAAAGTAATGATATAGAATAAAAACAAGCTACTTTATAAAATTAGGTTAAAATACTAAAACCAGGAACATGTCTGCATTGATTTTTGCATTGAACTTAACTTTTGTTTAAGGTCAAAGAAGACGACTTCAGATCTTTTTGTAAGGTGTTCCAGGTTACAGGAGCGGAGTATACCCCTATATATATTTTTTACCAAGTTCAGTCCGCACTGAGGGGACGCTGCAGGTAATGGTATCTTGAGAGCGCACAATGTAGCTGCACTGATGATGTGACATGTAGGGGAGAATTATGAAGGCAACAGACCAAGAAGATATTTAAAGATGAAAATAATAAACCAGTGTGAGAGTCTGCGTGAGGTTAATGATTACCAGTTAACCAGTGAATACAGGGTGCAGTGATGGGTACGATAGTTACGACCAATTATGAATCTTGTTGCGCCATGATAGACAGCACCCAACATCTGCAAGGTGGTTTCAGGAGCATGCATGTAAATAATATCACACTGGTCACCATAAATTTGGAAATATCCCATATTATCCTCTGGAAATATCAAAATAAATTTGGAAAAAAACAAGCTACATGATACTGTATTTAGTAATAGAAAGAAACTTATCGAAGTCCCATTTAAAATTGACAGTATTGAAATTTATAGAGATAATTAAATAAAATTTTGGGGTGTTATTGATGAGAAGCTGAAATGGAAATCTCATGTAAATTATTTAAGAATAAAAATAGCAAAATCAATTGCATTACAGTATAAAGTTTAAAAAATTAATGACAAAGCTTTGCATATATTGTATAATGTAATGATTGTTCCATATTTAATCTATTGTATTGAAGTTTGGGGGAAAGCACACAAAACAATTACAAATCCTATCTTTATTTTACAAAAAAGAGCTATAAGAATTAATAGTAGTAAGTGCTATGGTCCCCCATGAAATAATATTATTTCATCAGTTGAAATAATTAAAATTTTATTATTTGGTTGAATATAGTATTTTACAAGTCATGTATAAAGGTCATAAAAATATAACCCCCAAATATTCAATTAAAATTTGTTTTAAATTAATTGGCTTTTATGTATGTGAATGTTCCTGTAAAGTGCCCTGAGACAACTTTGTTGTGATTTGGCGCTATATAAATAAACTGAATTGAATTGAATTAAAAAAGAGAGTCGTTATAACCTTAAGGGAATGGAAATGTTTGTAAAATCTCCATTTAGAACTAGTCTGGAGGAGCTGCGTTGTAATTCAGGGAACAGGATTGTGGAATTGTCTTGATGTCACCATAAAAATTTATAAAACAATTTATGTTTAAAAAGATGATTAAGTTAAAGATGTTGGGAAAGTATGGTGCCAGGTGAAGAATGCCTGATGTATTTTGTTTTCAATTTGGAGATTGTTCAAGTGTAGGTTGTTGTTTGTTTGTAGTTTTTTTTTTTTTAAACAAGGGGCAGCTATTATAATAATTTTTTTCTTCTTTCTGCACCCTTTTCATTCAATGTTTTTTCTTTTTGATGAATTTGTTTTATTGTGTTTCTTGTAAATAAATGAATAATTAAAAAAATGGTCAAAGACCAGAAGGATAGCAGTTATAAGGTGTTTCCTAGCATTCAGTGTGAAACTAGACCTATTTCAGAAAAAGAAACTAAACTTTAATTTCAGTTTCTTTATAAAGTTTTCAACATGCGGCTTACAAGAGAGACATGCATCGCCCAAGATTCCCACGTATTTGTAAGAATCGACAAACTCAATAGGAACACCATTCGTAGATAAGACAGAAGGAAGGACTGCTGGCACCAACTTCCTGATTGAAAACAACATCCCTTTGGTTTTATCAGCATTTAGCACCAGTTTGAAATGGAGCAAGTCTGACTGGATGATGTCAAATGCAGAATGTAAAAGCTGGAAAACCTTAGGAACTGATTTAGCTCGACAAAAAACAACTGTATTGTCAGCACAGAAATGTAAGGATGCATCAGGAATGTTCTGACCTACATTAC